AAAAAAAAACCTGGAATCAGATATCAGGGTAAAAGCTGAAAGATCAGAGAAGCAGAGCAGACAGCCACTAGAGGGACTTTATACCTCTAGGAATCCTCAGACTCAAGGGGCTAAGCTCCTGTCTCCACCCCACCGGATCACTTCATCTCTCTGCCCAGCATATCACTTCCTGTTTCCTCCTTCCAAGTGCTGGGATTAAAGGCATGTGCCACCACTGCCTGGCCTCTAGTGGCTAGCTCACACTCTGATCTCCAGGCAAGCTTTATTTGTTAGAGCACAAACAAAATATCACCACAGTGTATTATGTACATCAATATATCTGACGGGAAGATGGCTCTACTGTGATCATGTAAAACTTCAAAGACTGTGACATACCAATTTAAAACTTTAAATCTGGGGTAGGAGATACGGAACAGCAGTTAAAAGCAATGACTGCTCATGCAGAGGATCCAGGTTTGGTTCCAGCACCCACTTTGAGGCTCACAACTACCTCTAACTCCAGTTTCAGGGGATCTATGTGAAACATACGATTTTAAATGTAGGCATTCATACATATACATAAAAAAAATTCTTAAATTTTAAGTCAAAGACAAGCATATGCTATACAGTCCATTCTATCCTCCAACTTGAAATCCTAATTACAGGCATATATTGCCACTCTATGGTTAGACTGATACATTTTTTTAAGATCAAATTTTATTTTATAAGTGTGCATGTCCTGTGTGAATATATGTCTGTACACATGTCTTAGTGTCGGGCCTGTCAACAGTCAGCTGAGTATCTTGGTAGAGGCGTGCAGATTGAAGAGACAATAAAGAGGACAGAAGAGAGTCAAGAGGTCTGCCTGTCAATGCCGGACAGCCCCGAGTTTATTTCACAGCCAGCTTATACACATTTTGAAGGACAGAGGTAGAACAATGCACAGCGCAGGCATTCAACCGCTATCTATCCTGCCTTGCACCAAGGAGCAGGCAGTTTCCTTTTCTATCTCAATGTACCTCCAGCTGGCATCAGCAACCTGCGTCTAGTTAGATAGTGTGTTCCTTCCTGTGGGCTAATCAGGACTTTCTCACAGCCCTGGAGCAAGCAAGCTTGAACTCTACTGACTCAGAATAGACTTCAGATTCAAACTGGGAAACTGAGTCAGTTGTGGGCTCCCACATCTTAGTTAGGATTTCTATTGCTGTGAAGAGATACCATGACAAGGCAACTCTTATAAAGGAAAACATTTAATTGTGGTAACTCCTTTACAGTTCAGAAGTTTAGTCCATTGTCATGGTGGGAAGCATGGCACATGCAGCCAGACACAGTGCTGGGGAAGGAGCTGAGAGTTCTACATCATGACTCACAGGCAGCAGGAAGTGGTCTGAGACAATGGACAGTAGTGTAAGCATATCTGAGATCTCAAAGCCCGCCTCCATGGTGACACACTTCCTCCAACAAGGCCACACCTCCTAATAGCCACCACAACACCGCATGAATGCAGTGCCTTTGGAGGCCAGAAGAGGTTGTTGGATCCCCTGGAACTGGGCATTTACACTGGATTCTCTGGAAAAGCAGCCAGTATTCTTAACCACTGAACCATCTTTCCAACCTCTACACTAACTGGGTTAAAAAATCATCAAATATTGAAATGTCCTTTTCGTTTTAATACTGGTTAGTACTGCCTAGAGGTGAAAAACAACCTTAAAGGAATCATCTTATGATACAGATGTAGAACAATCTATTGTGTCAGAACAAAAGAGAAACATAAAAAGTCACCTATTGGACGAAAATGGAAAGGAGCTCACAACTACAAATAAAACAAAAGCAATAGAACACAAAGAAAAATTACATAAATGTGATACAAGAACATATGATTTTAAAACTATATTATTTCTAACTGGCAGTTCTAACCTTCAGATATGAGGAAGATACATACATCAAATGCATATAAAGAAGCAACATATTAGAACACATAAAAAGAGCACTTGGGTGATATTAGGAGTTTAAAGAATAACAAAAGAGCAAAAACATGAATCCTATCTGTTACTGCCCGAGTTAGGTTTCTATTGCTGCAATGAAACACCATGACCAAAAGCAGCTTTGGGAGGACAGGGTTAATTTCATTCATGGTTCTTCGAAAGCAGTCATGGCAGGTGCTGGGATTAAAGGCCTGCACAGCCACCACCACCCAGCGGAATGCCTTGACTTAAAATGGAGGTCAAAAAGTGTATTACATTGGAGAAGAGGTTATGCTTTTGTTTCCACAGGAATCAAAAGGCTGTGGATTCTTTCCAGGTTAATAGAGATCAGATTTGACCAGGGAAGACCTCCTGAGTACCTTGGCTACAGACAAGGGGGAGGAAGCCAAGAAAGACTACCAGACAGGTGATATGTAAGCTGATTTCTCTGCATGGAAACAGCTCAGAGATGAGGTGAGACATGACAAATCTTATTGGCTACAAAGTCCTCACGACTTATTACATACCATCCTTTCATATGACATGGATAAAGATTTATATTACAGTTTGGTTATGCAGTTCAACAGACTTATAAAATTGACAGATACATTTTACCAGCTCAAACATAGAACAACAAAAAAAAAAACATCTTAAACTGACTGTGCACACTGCATGTTCCATACATGTGTTAATACAGATATATATGTTACCTTTGAAAGTTTATGTATTTTCAGAGCAAAGGGTCCAGACATTAGTGAAAACAGGTGGTCCAAGTGACCCAGCCTCTCAGATGCCTCTGTTGCAGTTTCCTCAGAGTTTTATATCCAGAACAGCTTCAAGGCTGCTGGCTGAGATGGTCCAGCCTCACAGACTACTGCAGTTCAGAGTTCAGATGAGCTTGAGCTTTCCTGTTACACAGAGACTGAACAACAGAGGCACAGCCAGCCCTCCCAGACCATGATCTTGTCCCAGTTTTCTCAGGGTCCCCCAAAGAAGCCAGCACCCCCAGACAACAGGAATCAGTCTAGAGAACACAATGCCCACATTCCCAAGCGGTGCGATGGATGGTTTAGGGTTGTTTGATGGATGTTTGTCATCATTTAAGGGGGTTGGTCACAAGTTGTTATTGGTCAGCGTCAAGGAGGAAACTAAGCAAAGGAAATTAGATTCAGGGATCTCATTCTGAAAAGAAAAAGGGGGTACAGAAATAATAGGATAAAAGAGTAGATCATTGTATCTACTTTCAAGCTAAAAATAACAACTACTAGTCTCAAATATTTTACACTGTTGTCAGAGCCAGCCAATGAGTTGACCAGGTAGCTGGGTGGAGGCGTGCGGCTTGTAGAGGCAGTGGAGACAGAACAGAGTCAAGCAGACAGCCAGTCAATGCCAGACAGTCCTGAGTTTATTTCACAGCCAGCTTATATATACACATTTTGAAGGACAGAGGTAGAACAATGCACAGCACAGGCATTCAACCACTATCTATCCCGTCCTTGGGTCAAGGAGCAGGCAGTTTCATTTTCTATCTCGATGTACCTCCAGCTGGCTTCAGCAGCCTGCATTTAGCTAGATAGTGTGTTCCTACCTGTGGGCTAATCAGGACTTTCTCACAGCCCTCAAGGAGACTGGAGCAAGCAAGCTCGAACTCTATTGACTCAGAATAGACTTCAGATTCAACCTGGGAAACTGAGTCACTTGTAGGCTCCCAAACATTGGAATGGATTTTTGTATATTGATACAATTTTGTTTGTTTGTTTTTGTTTTTCGTGACAGGGTTTCTGTGTAGCTTTGTGCCTTTCCTGGAACTCACTCTGTGGACCAGGCTGGCCTCGAACTCACAGAGATCCGCCTGGCTCTGCCTCCCGAATGCTGGGACTAAAGGCATGCACCACCACTGCCCAGCAATATTGATACAAATTTAAGATTATTTTTGTTATACTGTTGTTGTGATATATTGTGATCCCCAATATACTGTGTCTTCCAATAAAATTTACCTGAGGATCAGAGGAAAAAGCCAGGCACTATATTAACATAAAAATCAGGCAATGGCAGCACACGCCTTTAATCCTATCACTCGGGAGGCAGGGATCTGTCTGGATCTCTGTGAGTTCAAGGCCACGCTGGGAACAGAGCCAGGCTGGTGACACATGCCTTTAATCCCAGCACTAACCATAGAAGTCTGGGGGTCTGTACAGACAGACAGGAAGTGACCGAGCTGGGCAGGAAGAGGAAGTGATGTATCTGGGCTGAGAGCAAATGAGAGAACAAGAGGAAGGCATCTAGGCGTGGGAAGACAAGAAGTAACTCGCTTTGGAAGCTGCAGAGTTGGTGAGGTGAGGTTATCTGTGGCTTTTCCTAGTCCTCTGATCTCTCAGGCTTTAACCCCAATTTCTGGCTCCGATTTTTTTTTTAATGATCATTAATAAGACCATTTAGCTGTGTTTTGGGGGCTCTGGGCGCGGCAGATTTGTCTTTCCTGGCGGCCCCTTGCTCTCTGGGTCGCTCCTCGACTTCTTGTGTGTGTAACCACCAGGGCCAGCGGAGCGACTCCTCGTGGCTGGGGAAGCGGCTGCTGATGCTGCGGAAGTGGGCGAGCATGGCCAGCGCGGCGGCGGCGGAGGCGGAGGAGGCGAGCGCGGCGGCGGCGGAGGCGGAGGAGGCGAGCGCGGCGGCGGAGGAGGCGGTGGAGGCGGCAGCGGCGGAGGAGGCGGAGGCCAGGGAGAACCCGCTCGTGTTCCTGTGCTCGCGCTGTAGCCGGCCGCTGGGCGACTCGCTCACCTGGGTCACCAACCGGGAGGACGACAACTGCATCCTCCTGCGCTGTGTTTCCTCCAATGTGTCGGTGGACAAAGAGCAGAGACTGTCCAGGTGCAGAGGTGAGGAGGGCTGCGTTCTTGAGACCCTGCATTGTGCAGGCTGTTCCCTCAGCCTCGGCTGTGTGTACAGACGCACGCCCAAGAACCTCGAGTACAAGAGGGACTTGTTCTGCCTCAGCGTTGAAGCCATTGAAAGTTACACTTTAGGGTCGGCCGAAAAGCACATCGTGTCGGGAGACAAGGAGCTTCTCAATCTGGAAAGCAGAGTTGAAATGGAGAAGTCCATACAGCAGATGGAAGACGTCCTGACGGCCTTGCAGACGAAGCTGTTGGAGGTTGAATCAAAACTGCCCCTCGCTGGCTGCAGCCGCTGACCTGCCCCTACCCCACCTGCCCCACCCTGTTCCTAAAGCGCGGTCAGACTCTTTCTGTGTAGTTTACGGAAAGAAGTTCTCTGTATGTGAATTTTAAAGCCAGTTTATGTTATGATACATGCTGGAAGGAGATTTTGTGAGGGTTTTTGTTTTGTTTTTTGTTTTTAAGACAGGGTTTTTCTGTGTAGCTTTGCGCCTTTCCTGAAACTCACTCTGTGGTCCAGGTTGGCTTCGACTCACAGAGATCTGCCTGCCTCTGCCTCCCGAGTGCTGGCATTAAAGGCATACGCCACCAGTTTTTTTATTATTATTAAAAAAAGGGGGGGGATTTTTCTGCCTTTTTGTTAAGTTCATTATACATGTGCATTTTTGTATTTTTTTAAAAACTTTGTCACTTAATACTTTGGATATTAAAGAGTGAGTAGTAGAAAAAGACAGGCCATTTGGCAATTTGTCTACATGCTGTATATGTGTTTCTACTCTTGTTTAAGATATTTTTGTATATTGAAACAAATTTAAGGTTATTTTTGTTAGAACATACTGTACATACCTTTCTACTATTGTTTAAGGTATTATACCTATGCAGGTCATTTAACTATGTAATGTAAATTTCTAGTCTTTAAAAGTTATTATTACAAGCCGGGCGTTGGTGGCGCACGCCTTTAATCCCAGCACTCGGGAGGCAGAGCCAGGCGGATCTCTGTGAGTTCGAGGCCAGCCTGGGCTACCAAGTGAGCTCCAGGAAAGGCGCAAAGCTACACAGAGAAACCCTGTCTCGAAAAAACCAAAAAAAAAAAAAAAAAAAAAAAAAAAAAAAAAGTTATTATTACAAACTGTTTAGGATAATAAGAAAATGTAGGTTAATAGTCACCTATCACAATCAAAGTTATAGTTATATTAGGTATGTTTTCAGGGTCAAACAGATATATTTTAGATACACAGGTGGTCTTCAGACACTTCAGAGATCTACAAAACATGTCATTTAAGATGTTCTAGTAAATAAAGTTCTTTTTTATGACAATGCAAATGAAGTTGAAGCGTAACTTAAAATCTCTCGACTAAAAAGAGCTCAGATCCAGATGGATTCAGTGCAGAATTCTTCAAGATCTGCCCAGAACAGCTAACACCAATATTTCTCAAATTATTTCATAAAATAGAAAAAGAAGGAATGGTTCCAAAACTCTTTACAAAGCCAGACAAAACAACAAAACTAGTGTGTAAAATACAGACCAATTTCCCTAATGAACACAGAGGTTAAAAAGTCATAATAAAATACTTACAAACTGGATATACAAAAAAGATCAATAGCAGCCTGGGGTGGGGGGTGGGAGGGTGCAAACCTCTAATCCCAGCAATTGGGTGGCAGAGCCAGGCAGATCTCTGTGAGTTTGAGGCCAGCCTGGGCTACAGGGTGAGTTCCAGGAAAGACACAAAGCAACACAGAGAAACCCTGTCTCGAAACCACCCCCCCCCCAAAAAAAAGATCAATAGCATGATCAAGTTAGCTTCTTTCCAGAAATGCAGTTATGGATCCACAAATGTAAATTATTAAGTATAAATAATCACATAAATGGACTCCAAAGACAAAGATTACATGCTCATCCCAATTGATGCAGAAAAGGTCTTTGATAAAAATCCAACATTCCTTCATGATAAAAGCCCTGGAGAGACCCCCACATGGAAGGAACTATTTTAACATAAAGGTTATAACAAATCTAGACCCACTCTCAAGCTCAAGTGAGAATCCTGAGGAAGCCCCATCGGATCAGGAACAGGAAAAGTGTGTCCACTCTACCAACTCCTATTTAATATAGCACTAGGATTCTTAGAGCAAAAGGCAAGGGACAAATAGAAAAGGAAGAAGTCAAAATATCCCTGTTACAGGCAATCTGGTTCAATACCTAACAGACCCCAAAGACTTGTGAGGAAACTCTTAGAGCTGGTAAACACTCTCAGCAATGTGGCAGGCAATCACAAAGTTAACATACCCAAGTCATAAGCCTTTCTATGTCAAATACACTTAGAAAGAAATCAGGGAAGCATTCCCACTCACAATAGCCTAAAGAAATGAAAATACTTTGAAATAAACCAAAACAAGAAAGGGAAGGACCTCTACAATGAAAACTTTAAGGACCAGATAGTGGTAGCACACACCTTTAATCCTAGCTATTGGGAGGCAAAGGCAGGAAGATTTCTGAGTTCGAGGGCAGCCTGGTCTACAGAGTGAGTTCCAGGACAGCCAGGGCTACACACAGAAACTCTGTCTTGAAAAAACAAAACAAACAAAAGAAAAGGGAAAACTTGAAAACTTTGAAGAGAGAAATAGAAGACACCAGATAGAAAAACCTCTCATGTGCATGGACTGATGGACTTAATATTGTAAAAATGGCCTTTGAAACTAAAACAATTTACAAATTCAGTGCAAACCCATCAAATGCCAACTCAATTCTTCAAAAAAACAGAAAAAAAAAACCTTAAAATTCATATGGAAATACAAAATACTCCAGGTAGCAATCCTGAACCCTGAGAACACTGCAGGAGGTATCACCACACTCATTGCATGTTATCTTACAAGGGTACTAGTAATAAAACCAGCATAGGACTGGCATGAAAAACAGACCTGTAGAACAATAGAAGAGGAGACCCAGACACAAGCCCACTGCAGCCATCTGACTTTGATGAGCCAAACATACACAGTGGAGAAAAGGCGGCATCTGGAACAAAGGATACTGAGAAAAATGGATATCTGCATGTAGAAGAATGAAGCTAGGTCCTTCTCACTCAGCCTGCACAGAAACCAGTTCCAAATGGATCAGAGAACTCAGTGTCAGGCCTGAATTTCTCAATCTTCTAGAGATGCAGCAGGAAGACAATTTATGAACTAGGCATAGTGAAGACACTATGCACTTTGGGCACAGGGTTGGAGCATCTGAGCTGGATCTGGCCTGGATGATTTCCCCACTGAGAACTAACCTTCATAGTCCCAGAAGGTGCTGTGCAAGCTGCTAAGGGAGGGAAGCCACAATTAGTTCTGCCCAGCTGTGAAGGCTATGAACCCAAAAACAACAAGCATATGAAGGCATCGTGCCCTAAAAGTGCCTTAGACTATGGCCCACTCAACAAAAGGGAAATCTTGCCTGGTACTGAAAACCCACCTGATTACCAGGGGCTAGTGAGGTCATGGATCATAAAGAAGGACTTAACACTTTACTAAACCAGTACAGTCAATTCCTGACGGCATTCTAAACACTTATCTTTATTATTTTATTCTCACAGTTAAGTGTAGCTCCCAAGCCTCACGAATGGAAGCTTTTTTAAACAGAGACCATTACAGTAAACCACAACTGGTCAAAATGCAGAGAACAACTGATTGATCATGGTGTACCCAGCTGCAGTAGATACATCTACAATCAAACCCCTGTTCCTCAGGCTCAGAAGACATCATGAAAGAGGGACTAGAAAGTTCATAAGAGCCAGAGAACCAGGAAATCTGCTTTGAGATTGTGTCGCCTAGAAATGACAGGGAAGCCTTAGTCATGATACTACAACAATGTGGCTACTTAAATAAGACCTGAACAAGGACACCACCAACAGAGAAGCTAAGGGGAAGGGGTGAAAACTCACAGGACGCCACCTCTAAGAACTACAGGCAACTAAGGGAGGCTGAGAGTGAAGGAGGTGGTCTTCCCCCAGGCAGGAGGCCCCTACTAGTTATCCAATACCAAGTAGTAGCCCTGAAATCATGTACATGTGGGCACTACTGAATGGACTCAACGTGCTCTATTTATATATTTGTGTGTGTGTGTGTGTGTGTGTGTGTATACACACACACACACATATATATATATATATATATATAGCCATGAATTTGAGAGGGCATGCAGAAGAGAGACGTAGGAGGAGTTGGAAGAAGGAAAGGGAGGAAGAGAGAAGGAGTGAGAGAGATGTCTGTTCTCAAAGATCTACTACTGTTGGGGACTATTGGGGTCCAGCCCCTAATAGTCTCCTTTCCAGGGTCCGCGGAAGGATCTATCAACCAGCTGAGAATCTATTCTTTTTTTTTTTTTTTTTTTTTTT